CTCCTTTCTCCTTTCTCTCGCTCCTTTCGCTCTCTCTCTCTCTCTCTCTCTCTCTCTCTCTCTCTCTCTCTCTCTCTCTCTCTCTCTCTCTCTCTTTCCCTTTCTCTCGGTTTTCTCTCTCTTAGTAATGGATTGTGAAAGTGTATCAATTTGATCCAATTTGTCCAAGTATTTTTTAGGTTGATTTTTTTTTTTCCTTTTTTACCTCACATTTTCTTTCATTCTGTCCGATTTCCTCGTTTCCTCAACTTAATTATTATCAATTGTTTTATTGTTTTATTTAATTATGTTTTTTTTTTCCTTTCTTCAATTCGCTCGTTCGCTATGCTTTCGCTTTCAAGTAGTAAATCAGATTCGTGAAATTTATTATTACTATTTTATTTAGTTATATTTTATTTCATTTTATTTTATTTTATTTTTATTTTTATTTTATTTTTTTTTTGATTACTTGATTTTGACATTTCCGCACTGATGGTGATTTTGGCGATTGTGATGTAGCAACGAAGGAAATGGGATTCATTAAAAGAGAGAAAGAAAAAGTGTGAAATACAGCGAATTATAAACAACAGGAAGGAGGAGAAGAAAGAAGAAGAAGAAAAAATAGAAGAAAGTGGAAAAGATGAAGAAGATGATGATGAATTGTGTTATAAAAGGAGAATGAAAAGTAATGAAAACAACGAAAAAGAATAAATAAACAGAGAGGCAAGGAAAGTAGAAAGTAGAAAGAAATAATAATAAAATAAGAATAGAAATACGTACAAGACAAACGAAGACAAAGCAGAAATAGAACACAAATGATAACATTAATAATAATAATAATAACAAGAAAACATAAAAAAGAAGAAGAACAAATAAAAGAAAGAGAGACAAGGAACACCAAGAAATAAAACGAAGCAGACAAAAAAAATAACAAAAAAAACAAATTAAACAAGAACTGAGAGCACATGGAGGGGGAGGGGGAGGAGAGGAGAGAGGGAGGGGGGGAGAAGGTAGAGAGGGAGGGGAGGAGATGTTGGGCAGAAAGGGAAGGGAAACAAAAACGTCTTTAAGCTTTTAATTGTATTTGTCAATCAGATGAATAAACTACATTTTAATTACGTCTTCGCCTGTATTGGTAAGAGGTGTGTGTGTGTGTGTGTGTGTGTGTGTGTGTGTGTGTGTGTGTGTGTGTGTGTGTGTGTGTGTGTGTATTTATTTATATGTGTGTGTATTTATTTATTTATATGTGTGTGTATTTGCATATGTATGTGTCTTCGTATGCACACACATATACATACACAAACACTTACATACATACCAACACACATACAACCCTCTATACATTGTTTCCGTAGCGCTTCAGCATCTGTACAAGAGAGAAGCATTCAAACAATGACCTACGCACTGCAGCGAAACGGCATAATGAAGCCAGCTCTGTGTAAAGCATCTCCCTTCACTAGTTAATGTGATGTAAATATGCGGCAGACTCCATGCGCCTCCGGTAGATACAAGACCTTTGAATAGTTAAGTTGGTTAGATATTTGATAATATCATTATATTCGAGGGCGACAGTCGTTATAAGTTTGTCTCTTTTGCTCTCTCTCTCTCTTGCTCTCGGTCTCGGTCTCGGTCTCGCTCTCTCTCTCTCTCGGTCTCGGTCTCTCTCTCTCTCTCTCTCTTTCTCTCTCTCTCTCTCTCTCTCTCTCTCTCTCTCTCTCTCTCTCTCTCTCTCTCTCTCTCTCTCTCTCTCTCTCTCTCTCTCTCTCTCTCTAAACACACACACACACACACACACACACACACACACACACACACACACACACACACACACACACACACACACACACACACACACACACACACACACACATATATATATATAGACAGAGAGAAAGAGAAGAAGAATGAGGAAGAGGAAGCTAAGAGAAACAGACACAGAAGCAAAGACAGAAACTGACAGACTGACAGACACACAATCGGACGAACGGAAAGAGAAGAGCAGTCTCCACAGCCTTGCCCCTCCCTCCCTCCCCCCCACCTCCTTCTAAAAAAAAAATATCAAAAAATGATTACTCGAGAGTGAAAGTACACAGTGTTGGCGGGCAATTCTCCTTTGCACCGACAGAGAATGGATACCAAGGGGTGACTTACATAATATATATTTTTTTTTCACCCCCGAGTCCGAAGGTTTGGAATTCGCATTGTCATAGTCTTATTTGGGAATGCGTTTGTTAAGTTCTGCCTGAGAACTATTATTTCATTTTCTTCTTTAACCCCTGTGAGGGTGAAAAAAAGAAAAATCTTTTCGATATGGATATGGTTTAGATTCGTTGTACTACTCTTCAGTATCTTAAGCTTTCACTAAGTCATTTTGTTTCGAATATAATACATATTAATCCATCGTTATGGCTACTCTTGTTTAGAATGCCACTGATGCATACTTTTATATTCTGCTTTTCATATCTTCCCTTCTTGCTTCCTCTCCCAATATTTCCCTCAACGTCCATATATAAAATAGCTTTCTAACTGTGCGTAAATCATGAATGTCGGTTTTAACGAAAGGCAGTGCGCTTAAACAGGTGCGTAGTTTGAATGAGAGAGCGTCAGATGTACTTGTATATACCCCCCCTACCCACCTACCCACCTTCCTACCCTCCTACCCTCCTACCCTCCTACCCACCTCCCTACCTACCTACCCTCCTGCTTACCCTCCTCCCTTCCTCCCTACCTTCCTACCTACCTACCCTCCTACCCACCTACCCTCCTACCCACCTTCCTACCTACCTACCCTCCTACCTACCCACCTACCCTCCTACTTACCTACCCTCCTACCCTCCTCCCCTCCTCCCCTCCTTTACCTCGAGCTATGACCGGTCTGGCTGAGAATCATAGCGTTGCGTCCTCATTGCACGGTATCACTGGCGCAGCTTGGCCCTCGCTGGCTCTCAAGTGCCATTTCTCTCGCTCCTGGTGACACCTGCGCCTTTGTCCGAGGGCGTGAGGGACAGCTTCGGCAAAGATGGTCGAATTTCTGTAACGGTCTGGATGTTCGGAAAGGTATGTGCCGGTTGTGGCTGGGTAAAACATATGCACGGACACACGGTACACACGGATACACGGACACACACACACACACACACACACACACACACACACACACACACACACACACACACACACACACACACACACACACACACACACACACACTACACACACTAATACACACACACTAGTCCGCACACACACACACGCACGTACAAAAAAACACACCCACGCACGTATCTGACTGTTGACAATCAAAGCATGCTATTAGAGCAATCTCGTTCCATCGTTATCGGACAGACAGAAAACGAACACGAAGGCTAATGATAGAGGGGTGACTAAATTAAACGATTCTTGATTGCTGCGATGACCGATAAGGAACCAGCTCGGCGCGCAGTGATTCAGTGAGAACACGCCATCTCTCAGAAGCATTTCACTCTATCGACACCTTAGCAAAGGAAACGAAAAGGGAGGGGGGAGGGGCATTGCTGAGAATCGACAGAAGAAAGATGTTTTTAAATGAAGAAACAGCGTGTTTGTTTTTGTTTTTTTCTATTTAGTTATTTATTTATATTTTTAAAACTGTTCCTATCGAGTTGAGGGTTAGAGAGTAAAAAAAAAAGGTGTTCCCTGGTCTCGTTAAAACACCCGTTGAGAATTTCGTTTGCAAAGAGTTTTTATGCTTTATTTATAGGTCTATACACCGGGGAAATACCTGATTGTGTAATGAATTTATAAGCTAGTGGAATCTTAAGCACGAAGTTAAATTTTTATATTATCACTATCGTTGTTATTACCACTATTATTATGATGTTATTACTGGTGTTATTACAATCATTATATGGTGCTATAACTACTATGCATGATCATAGTAATGGTTATTATTATTTTCATCTGGTTATTGTTGTCATTATCATTACCACTTTTATCATCATGATCCTTTTTGACATTATTAACAGTACAGTTGACTTTCATAGAAAATATATTATTAACGATTAGGATAGTATTGCTAATTCAATCATTATTATTCATAAAGATATTATTATAATCTTTAATTGATTGGTATTAACAATTACTAATGTTATTACTAATATTAATACTATTAATCATAATCATTATTATTATCATCAGTAATGTTATTATTATTATCGCCATCATCATCACTCTCACAATGATTATGTTAATGATGATAACGATAATAAGATTAATGACAATAAGAATAATAACAATAAGCTTATGATAGATAATTAAAGTAAAGATGATAGTAATAGCATTAAAATGCACTATGATCAGTGGTGATAATCATAATAATAACAAATAAAATCCTTTAGAATGCGTAAGAAAGTGCGGTAAAAAAATATGAACATCAGTCATAAAGTGATGTTACTCTTTATATTTATGCTCCCTAAAAAAATGGCGCGAACTTTGTAAGTTTTTGGAACAAGGATATTATGATTTTTGACGATTGCATGTTTTTAACGATATTTTATCAGTACAGGAACGTTTGTGTGTGTGTGTGTGCGTGTGTGCGTGTGTGTGTGTGTGTGTGCGTGTGTGTGTATGTGTGTGTGCGTGCCATATTAGTCAGATATTTCAAACAACCGATGCCAATGTCGCAATATATCAAGATTTTTTCTCCTTTTTCTCTCTTCTAACCCTTTTTTTTAACTTTTTTTTCTTAGCCTCAAAGTACCTCTCTGACTCCGAAGACGTGCTACTTACATAGATAAATCTTTCTATTCCCTTCCCTCGTACTCTTTTATCTGGCGTTGGCGTGGCTTGAAACTGGTCGCGGTGAAAAATTGTTTTCTGGCGTGCACGAAAACCAAATTTTTTGAGTAATTTGGGTGGGAGAGAGAAGAAGAAAAAAAAGGAAGACAGGTTTAGGTAATAAGAAAAAAAATATATATGTGTAAATAAATATACAAAACGAGATTTTTTTTCTTCTTTTTACACAGGAAATATATAAAATAAAAAAAATAAAAACACATAAAGAAAGAGAGAAAGAAAAGGGAAAAAAATCAAATCAAAGAAGAGGAAATAAAAAAGAAAGAAGAAAAAAAAGAAGAGAAAGAATACGAACCAAAAAATTAACAATCCCCCCTTACCCCTACCCCCACCACCCCCACCACCCCAAAAAATAAAGAAAATTAAAAAAAAAATAAGTGAGAGAACATCACTCCTATTGAAAGCAACAACACGGATTTTGAGGTGTAGCTTGGCACCTGAGAGCAGAAAGGTGCGTGCCCGGAGTGCGAGTGCGTGCCCAGAGTGCGTGATGGCCTGTGGGAAGTTCGGTTTGGTCCTCCGTCTGCTCCTACTGGTTACCTGCTCCTTGACCCAAGCAGAGAGCGACGGGAACACGGTAAGTCGAGGTCACCGCTATATCAAGGTACACGAATGAATCATCGGTCTTAGTTATTTCGTCATCGCTTTTTATTGTCGTTATGATCAACAATAAGTTTTTAATTATTGTTTCTGTTATTATTGTGTCTATTATTATTGTCTATGTTATTATTCTGTCTATCATTATTGTCTATGTTATTATTGTGTCTTTTGTTATTGTCTCTGCTATTATTGTGTCTGTTATTGTTGTCTCTATTCAATCATTGTCTCTGTTGCTGTTGTTCTTATTATTAGGGTAATTTTTAAATGATTTTGCGTTGCTTTATCAAGTGATTTGTGTTATTATTTTTTTGTTGATGTTATGATTTGTATCAACTTAAATAATGATATTAGTATCGTTAGTGTTATCCTAGTAATTATAGCAGTGGTAGTTGTAGTAGTGGTAGTAGTTATAGTAGTGATAATAGTAGTAATATTACCAATAATATCAGTAGTAGTAGCATTACTGGTACCGGGAGTTGTAATAGCAGTAATAGTAGTGGTAATAGAAAGAGTAGAAACATAGTAGTTGTTAATTATTACCACAAATGGCATTACTCTTTTCATTTATGGATCCAAAAACAGTATCATATTTATAATTGCTATCAATATTATCATCTACCATTCATAACTAACCCACCCCCACCCCCATACCCCCTCCAAAAAAAAATCAATAGACATAAATAACAATAAGCAAATAAGTATAAACATGCTCCCCTTAAAAACAAATAATAATAATGATAAATATATAAATAAAACCGACTTCAAGCCTCTCTCCCTCCCCTGCAGTAATACTAATGATAAATAGATAAATAAAACCGACCTCAAACCTCTCCCCCCCCCCTACAGAGTTGCGAGGACCTGGGCACAAAGAACAGCCACTTCGAATGCACTGACGCGGGCGAGGTGCAGTGCGTCGACGGCTGGGAGGGCGAGGAGTGCAACATCCCTATCTGCCGCGAGGGATGCGATCCTGTGCACGGTTATTGTACTCAGCCGGGAGAGTGTCGGTGCTCCTTAGGTGAGTCCTCTTGCAGGTGAATTTGATGTTGTTCAAAGCCGGATTGCTAGGTTGCTAAGTCCGAGTGAATGGGGGGGGGGGTAGTAGGAAGGGCATCCGGCTGTGAGGGAAAAAAAATGTTGGGTTGGAATTACGCTTAGTGGCAACCTTGTTAGGTAGGAATAACCCTGTTTTATTTTAGGGATGAGATGTAGGTAAGGGACACGTCTTTGTTTCAATTTGAATTTTTGAGAAGGTTGAATGATTATTATTTTGATAATGTGTGTCACTTCCTCATATTTCATTTATTGATTTAATGTATGTTATTTCGATACAATAGCTAACTGATAATTCATGGCTGTTTGTCACAATTGATTGAATGCTGAGAATGTATATATTTTATTATAGTTTCAAGGTTTGTCTAATTTGTAAGTAAAATCGAGGATACTGTTTTCTTTATTCTCCGGCGAAATAATGATAACAACAATAAATATCCTGTCTCTCTCTCTCTCTCTCTCTCTCTCTCTCTCTCTCTCTCTCTCTCTCTCTCTCTCTCTCTCTCTCTCTCTCTCTCTCTCTCTCTCTCTATTTCTCTCTCTCTCTATTTCTCTCTCTATTTCTCTCTCTCCCTCTCTCTCCCCTTCCCACTCCTTCCTATCTCTCTCTCCTCCCTTCTCTTTGACTCTCTCCTTTTCCTATTCATTTTCTCTTTCTCCCTTTCCGTGTCTCCCAAATTCCGCAACAAGAGAAAGAACACAAAATAGAACAAAGGAAATGAGAACAAGTGTCGACCTTGAGTTCTTCAGAAATGCTCTCTTTAACCCGAATGATTTTATGGTCACGTTTTTGTTTATTGTTGTTGTTGTTGCTGTTTTTGTTTTGCTTCATAAATCCACTTCGGGTATTCGTGTTTTTTTCACGTTTTTTTTGTGTGTTTTTTAATTCTTTCCTTCCTAATTGAAATTTAGTGAGAGTTTTTTTTTACTGTAGTTTTTTGGCATACATAGTTGTTTCAGTTGTGATCAGAAATAAAAAAACAACAACAACAACAACAAAAAAACATCAACATTGCACTGCCTCTGCTACAAACCCGTGCCACACCTCTCTGTTGCAGGATGGCGTGGTGAGAATTGCAGCGAGTGCACGCCATTGCCAGGTTGTCAACACGGCTATTGCAACTCAACTAGTTTCGAGTGCCTATGCGAGGAAGGTTGGGATGGCCTGTTCTGTTCTCAACGTAAGTATAGGTTTATGCAACATATGGACTCCAGCTGGTGGTTGAATGATTGCAAAGGAAGCATATACAGTTATTCTTCTTGTTGATTATATGCTTGTATCTCATTGCATTTCATTTAGCACATATATTTTTTTCTGTGTCTGGAATGCTCTTATATTGCAACGCCGCAGTTATAATATTAAAGTTTTACGATTATCCAAAAGGAAATTAATTAAGCCATTCCACTGAGCTTATGAATTCAATTTATTTTTTTTTTCAACCTGTCTTTTTTTTTTCTTTTTCGTAGCCATATGTAAAGAAGATTGTCACGCCACGAGAGGTTACTGCGATCTGCCTGGGGAATGCAAGTGAGTATTTATGGTGTTTTTATGATGTAGTTGCAATGTTTATGTTGTTTTTGTATGATGTTTTGTGTTTTTGTATGTGGGAGGTCGAGTTTTGTCTGTGATGTCCATTACTTGTAGAATGTCCTTGTTTGTGTGTCATGTCCTTTTTCTCCCCTACCTTCCCTTTCCCACCCTTACCTTCCCTTCCCTCCCCCACCTTCCCTTTCCTCCCTCTGCCTCCCTTCCCCCCCCTACCTCCCCCCCCCCGCCTCCCTTTCC